GTTCACCTGGTCCTGTTAAATCTTGATGGAGCCAAGTTTGAGTTCATAAAATTGATCTTATCAAACTTTTAACTGAGTAGAAAGACAAGAAAACTAGTCCCACAGTCACCCCCTAGTTAAGGCATGTAGGCCGTATGAAAGAATAGTGTACTCTTGAGTGCTGCTCCTTTAAACCAGTACCCTACTAGATTTTCAGGCACTCATTAAGTCTTATTTTTATCAGCGTTTTATACTAAAAAAAATGCTAGATATTGAAATATTAAATTATACAACAAAAAATCTGAAATCTTTTATCAAGTCAGATATTTTGGAAGGTCAGTTTAGTTGTTAAAGGAAAGCTCGGTGAACAAGTCACTCCTTGATGCTGAAAGCATGTTTCTGAATCTCATTTGGTTTCACATTCTTTTTACCCTAGATAAATGTTAAGAACACATTCTTTTTGAGACAATCTTGGTACATCACTTTTACATGTGATCTATGGTGCACAACTTTCATTGACATTGGATTTTTTCTCATCTTACGAGAATATCATGCATCCCCAATCATTTCTTATTTTGATGATATGTAGTTTTAGTTTTTCTATTTTAAAATAGGTATATTTAATTTTTTATTTGAATATGTAGAATTTTAATTCTTTTATCAAATTAACATTTATTTATTATTAAATTTTAATATTTATTCATACTTAAATAATATAACATTTAGTAATTAATATGACATTTAAAAATAAAAAAGAGAAGGAAAAATTAAAATTTTTATTAATAAAATAAATATCAATTACTCATTAAAATATATATATATATATAATTGTTTTTTATTTTTATTTTTTATTCTTATACATCGTGTCACTTAATACCATATCATTTAGGTATTAATTATTAAACAATGTTAAAATTTTATGATCGATGAATATTAAATTGATAAAAAAAACCAAATTTCACATTTAAAAAAATACGAGACTTTTCTATTTTAAAAAAAATAGTCAAAACTGCATATCGATGAAAATAAAGGAACCAAAAATGTAATTTAGTCTAAAATAAAATTGTTAAGTATATTTTTCACTGTTTGAAAAATTGCTCTTATATAATATATTACATCGTATACAAATTTTTACATTATTAACATTTACGTTGATGCATTAATGGGGAACAAGCCATGTTGGTGAATCGTAATGTCGAAGAACCCTAAACCCTAAATCCTAAACCCTAAACCCTAAACCCTAAACCTCAGCAAAATTATGAATAGTAAAAATAAAGAGGAAGACGATAGGAAGTTATGGCATAGTCGGAGAGGCATGTGGTGACAGTGAAGAAATAAAAGAAAGTTATAGAGAGAATACAATAAAAGTGTGGGAATGAATTTAAACCAATGGTAACTAAAATGGTGGACACTAGTCCACCCATCAAAATAGTTCACCTTTAATCTTCTTTTTGTTCAGCTTCGTCACCTTAACTGCATAGGCAGCACCACCATGACCATACAAGTAACATCGTCACCGTGACTATACGGACAGTGTCACCGTTACTGCACAAGCAGCCGTTATCGTGACGCACGTACAATACCGTTACACTCAGTGATAGATCTAGAAATTTTAGGTAGTAGAGGAAATACTTACTCATATATTTGTAATATTAAAACTTTTACATATTACTTTTAAAAGTATAAATATATATCATAATTATTTTTACAATTTTTTATATCTACAATTATGATTAAGGATGGAAATAAATCAGGTAAGACTAGATTATATTATAATTTAATAAATTTGAACCTAACTTTCTTTAAAATTACATGTCTTTAATATGACTTATTTATCTGTTATAGATATTTTTTAAATGTTTGGTTAGAACTATAATCTTAAAGACCTATTTTATAATAATTTAACACTAATAAAACCATAAAAATAAATATGTTAAATTTTATAATAAAAAAAACAAGTTTAATTTATTTATGATATAAAATATTTTTAATATCTGATATAAATTTTTAGATGATAATTTATTTTAAAATATATTTTATAATACAAATTCAAAATAGAATATAAATCTTCCAACCTTTCCTATTTTGATTTTTTTAATCAATATATACAATCTTACAATCTTTACTATTTTGATCTTTTTAATCAGCGTATACAATAAATAAAAAATATAAAAGGTAAACATCATAGTGCAAATTTTATTTTATCAAAAATTAATTTTTTTAACATATTACTTTATATAAGTGAACATCAATATATATATATATATATTATAATTAAACTTTTTTAAAAAAACTAATTCATTATTAATGAATATTCTTTATCACATATGAGAACTAATTTCCTTCAAAAATTTTAAAAAATATTAAATAAATAAACACTTCTTTCAAATTTATATTTTATACATATGATAAATTTATATTTTATACATATGATAATTTAAATATATATATATATTAGAATATAAATTTTATTTTTTAAAATATATTATTTTTTGGATAAAAAAAAATATATGCATAAAATGATCTATCTCTTATGTAGTTCCGTCCGTGATTACACACAACATTGTCACCATTCTTCAATATTTTGTGATTTATTTATATTATTTTTGTTAAAAATCTATTATTACCGGTCGTGCCTCATCCATGATGTACTTATTTTAATAAGAAATGATTTTTTCTTCGAAAATTAATATTTGAAATTTTTTTTGAAAGTTTAAAATTTCAAAATATTAGAATAAAAAAAATATTTTATCTAGATGATTGACATATGTAAGTCATTCGCTGATTTGAAAGATAAATCGGAGAATTTTTTTGAAGATATAGCATATTCCCTACTTTAATACTTCATCCTAGAAAGACCCTAACTATTCTAGTGAAAAACGAAAGATGGGAGTGAATGTTACTATCAATATCAACAGTGTAAAGCTGAAATTGCAGACAAAGAAAAAATAAAAGATAAAGAGAGAGGGGAAAAAATAAAAATATATAATTATGATATGATAAATAGAACTCTTTGTTCAAGGGTTATTAACTTTATTTTGTTTTCTAGCAAAGAAAGTATTGGCGAGTAATGTTGGTGCATGAATCTATGGATTATTACTCATATCTTCTCAGTAACACAACTTTGAATTTTACCTCATAATAACATGTGTGACTCTTTTGGTGCATGAATGCAAAACGTCAATGCATGTGATATCTGTGATGAAGAACTCGTATTCCATGCATGTTTTACATGGGACGTACAGGTTTGCATGCATGTTTTACCTGGGAGCTGTCACCTAGGCATGGCAACGGGCCGGGGCGGGGCGGGTTTTACGTTCCCCGCCCCCGCAAATTTAAACCGCCCCCGCCCCCACCCCCGATACCCGCCGGGGATAAAATCTAGGTCCCCATCC